CTATAGATTTAGTATTTTGACTTCATAAACATCTAATTTGAACCAGTGCTGCATTCAACATACCACATGACACATAAAAATTGATGTTTATCTTGTTGTTTTTTAATATTTACTTTTAAATTAAGAAATTGAGTAATATATAGTACAACCACTTGAATTATAACCTACAGTTTGATACCAAACTTATTGGCATAAGTTCATGAAATAGTAGTTCAATAAAATTTTGAATGCGAGTCAACAAACGAGATGACATGGTCTTTCACCTATGACCTGTCTCGAAAAGGTTAATGATAGGGCTTTCTGTTCAATGTTAGTCAACTTTATTTGTCTTTCTATGACTTGCATTAATGATATGACTGTTTAACACTAGTCTACCTTCCTTGTCTTTCTTTAGCTTACATTAATGACTTTCTTTTGATTATCAGGTAATAAAAGACGATATGTGGCCAAATCCTCTCCAGTATTTTTTAGTTCCCGATATTGAAGTGGAAGAAAATGGACTAGAAGGAGAGGATGAAGAGAGGTTAGTTTAAGTTTCTTTAAAAATATTTTTTGGTAAATTCTTTATATAAAAAAAGTACAAATACTGAAACTGGTATTAATTTGGTTTAAAAGTCTATTTTATAGGAATCTGTTTAATTTCATCTTAAAAACAGTGAGGTTATAACAAAATAAAATTTATTGTCTCATTTGGAAGTTTTATATTAAGGTTTATTTTTCTTCTAAATGAACCTATTTATAGTGAAGAAGAAGAAGTGGATGACTCTATTGTTGTAGTTGAAGAGGAGGGTGAAGGAGATGATGATGATGAAGATGGAGAAGGTGGTAGGTGATTTGTTTTATTGTTGGTGAGGCTTCTGACAAAATAAAACCATTAACTCTCTGTACATGTTTTGTCATTTTGACTAACCTTGCAACAACGATGTAACCGTGAAACTATACATACTATAACTTTTATTGACACTTTTTTTGGTAGTTAAAAATGCACATTACAATATTCAAAATTTAATGAAATTACTTTATCATCATTATATTTTGATAAACTTTGTATCAGAAAGTCATTGATAAATCAAATTTTAAAAGAAAATATTTCAATAAATTCTCAATCTCCTGTTGCACGTGTATCATGAAATTGTTCGTTCCGGTTTACACTGAGAACAAAATAACATTTGGAAATTTAAATTTTGTCTTTCTACTGGTTATAAATTATATAATAGCAACAGTTATATTGGTACTTCTGTTAAAAAGAGGATGTGACAGGTGGGCATGGGTCTGACTTTCTAGTTTATATTTCACTAAACCATGCCTTAGTAATATCTATACAATAACAAGTAACTTATGTTAAATGTAAGACATCAAAGAGAGGTAATAAAAAAAACAGAGGATGGGGAATTAACAAGAAATGTAGTACTTACTTTTGACCCTGTTTTTTTATTGTCAGCATGCCTGAAACCTAAGCCTACTTCTTTTGTCATGATGGTACTAGTATATTAAATTTTATTTCTAATATGCACTTAAGTACACAAAATAATAACACAGACAAAGCAAACAATATCCTATAATTACTATAAATTAACTGGATTTCTAACTAAGGCAAAAGTGTCTTAAATAATTTTCTTAGTTAACAGATTTGAACTCGCCAATAGCAGCTTTCAACCTGTAGATGAAATAACTAAAGCATTTATTGTATTAAACGTAACTAAAATGTAAAAATTAGAAACTTTTTATCTAAGATTAGGTACTATAAAAATGAAAAAAAAATTAGATAAATATTTCTTCATGAGGTATGCTCGTGGGTAGTTCATGTGTTATGTCATGAGCTACGTGTTAACAGTGTGATTTACAGCTTGTATTGCATGGTTATTAATTAGAAACAGTACAAAAGACTTAATGGTTACTAAAAGACAAATTTTTACTCTCTCAACACGGTCTTGGTCAATTTGACCGACCACGTGACCTCTTTGTACTAATTTAAAGTCTTTATAGTTTTGATGCTATTAACTTTTAATATAGTGTGTATATCTTAACAAAATTTGGCACACTTTCAATAAACATTATGTCTTTCACATACAAAAAAAATCATGTTTTTTCAGTGAAGTATTTTTAATAAGCTAAAAAAACATTAGTCTGTGAACATGTATTTTTTTACTAGTCCAAATGCAAAGTGATTTCATATTAAGATTAAAAGTACTTTTCTCCATCTCAAAAATCTCAAATTTCATTTGTGTAACCCCTAAAACCTCCTAAATACATTTCAAATCTTTGTTTTCAGTGAAACTATATATTTTGTCTGTTATTTTCTCTACCCTAACTATATACAAGGTTGGTCAATTTGACTGACCTTGTAACAACCCCCAAAAAAATTGAAATCAATCTCCCCTTTTTTCTTTGTAGAATGACTTCAAATTGTAACATGAAACAACAGTAACAGTAACTCATAACAGTATACATCTATTTATACATAAATTTTATTGTCTTATTGGCCTTTGAACCATGCCTAACTACTAATCGTGCCATTATAAACTTTAAATCACTTGGGAATGTGGTACTCCCGTTACTCTGTCGAATTACATTACCCAAGAGCTCCACGTGTGCGTGCCTCGTGAAACATTTTTATTATATTATTATTTATTTATTTTACGTAATCTAACCTTAACTAACCTAAAAAGATCCATATTTTTACATTTTAGTTAATTTTATAATAAATAAAGAATAAATGTAAAACAAGAAATAAAGTACATACCCGAGTTTATTTTTTTGCTGTCGATGATACTCAACCCTACTTTTTCTATACTACTGGTAGTAATGCACTAAATCATTTTTATTTAATTAAATAATGTACCAAAGAACATAGAATAATAGCATGCAAGATACACATAATTTACCCTAACTATCACAATTTTTCTGGCTTTCTAACTATGTGACAAGAATCGTTACAAAATCATTCAAGCTGGTCATTATTTTTCCTGTGGGAAAGAAGCTTGTACTAACAGTGAAGTTGACAATTATCTGTTCAGAACACGTTATATAATACGTCATTTGATAGATGAAAATCTTGGCTTTCTATTGGATATAGGTAATATAGAATTAAACGTAAGAGAGAACTATTAACAAATCCTGAAAGATAGGATGGCTCTGTAACCAAACAAAATTGAAGGCTAGGAAGATTATGGTTTGTCTGAGCAATGACAATTTTATAATAAGTAATTTATGTTAACTTCCGTACTTATTGGAGGAGTGGTGAATAAAATAGAGAAGAAGGGATGCCTAGAG